GTCTCGTTTTCAAGTTTTAAGGTATATCTGACGAGAAGATGTGCCGTAATTTCCCGAACGCTGCCCAACCGAGTTGAATCCGTCGATTGACCTCTCGGTCGAAGTTGGACTTACCTAGTCTGACTATTTGTCCCAGGTAAACATACTCGTCAACAACTTCGAGCTCAGTGTTCCCAACAACTACCGGCGTAGGTGTAACATGGACATTAAACATGATCTTTGTTTTGTCCATGTTCATCTTAAGACCTACACGTTGGGAAACACTATTGAGGTCATTGAGCATAGTGCTTAGGTCCTCCAGCGATTCTGCCATAAGGACTATATCGTCGGCAAATCGAAGGTGAGTGATGTACTCGCCATTGATGTTGATACCGTATCCTTTCCAGTCCAGAAGCTTGAAAACATCTTCCAATGCAGCGGTAAAGAGTTTCGGGGATATGACGTCACCCTGTCTTACACCTCTCTGCAATTGGATAGGTTTCGTACTCTGGTTCTGTACTCGGATAGCCATCGTAGCCCTACTGTACAAGCACTTCAACACTTCAATATACCGACAGTCAACTTGGGACTGCAGCACCGCCCAAATTTCGACGGAATCAAAGGCTTTCTCATAGTCCACATACGCCAGACATAGTGGCAAATTGTACTCCTCTGTCGATATATATATATTAATTTGCGGTATGAACAATAAATTCGGTATAATGGGGTAGTTTAGTTATTTTATTTCTTTCTTTTATTTGTTTATATAAGTATTTAAACTTCGTAGCACAAAAATGGAAATAGGCGGACATGACACGGTACTCCATCAGTCAACCTACTAGTAGTACTACGTGGTAGAGCCATGCTGCAGCTATATTATGGTTGTAGCACGAATGGGTCGGCTCGAACGGGGAAGGACCACGCTCTCACAGAAAACCAGCGTAAAATAGCAGCTTAACGCTGCTGTGTCTCGTATGGTGAGTGTAGAGAACCGGAGACCCTTTTTACTGGCAAAGACGCGTTCCATCTTAGTCCTCACGGGTGACAACGCATCTGCATCTTGAGTCTTTATTGAGGATAGAAGTAGATGTCTATGGGTCACAGTAACCACTTACCATCAGGTGGACTGTGTGCTCGTTTGTCACCCGATCCTATATAAAAAAAACCTATAAGTAAGCATGTTTTCAAGTTTCAAATAGTTTTCAAGATAATTAATTTATGGAAAAAAAACCGGGCATTATAAATAGTTCCCTGATATTTTTTTATTTTCACTTCGTCTATAACAGATATAGACTTCATCGTGGAAAATAATTGTTGCTCTAGTGTCATTACAAGGGAGAAAACAGAGGAATACGAGCGTATCAGTAACATATCATTTATATTTCTAATTCCACGAACTTTCTTCCAGCAAATAACATAAGTAATATTTTCTTGTGCTACATGAATATACATTTGAATTATTATTTTTTGCCCACGTTGATGTCTGTGATAATTATTATTTAACGCACTGAGTGAAACGTGATGTAGAATGACTTCGGTTCTCTACACGCACCATATGCAACAGAGCAGCATTAAGCTACCATTTTATGCTGGTATTCTGAGAGCGTGGTCTTTCTCTGGTCGAGCCGACCTATTCGTAATACAATCATAATACAGTTACATTATGGCTTTACTACGTTAAATGTAATTATGTTTTACCCCCAGAAATCACATCTGGTTTTTTAATGGTTTAAGCTGATTGAAAAAGGATCGTTTCTATGTTTATAATATTATACGAGAATCGTAGAATCGACATTTTTATCGTAAATTGAGTCATGAATTCACTTATCTATACAAAATAAACAAAATTGAAGTGTCTGTTTGTAATGTCAAAATAAAAGCTTTTTACTAAATGCATATGAAAGTAGGTATATACTTATAAAAAAACAATTTTTAAAATTTTTGTCTGTCTGTCTATTTGTTCCGGCTAATCTCCGAAACGGCTGGATTGATTTTCATGGGATTTTCACTGGCAGATAGCTGGTGTTATAAGGAGTAACTTAGGCTAGTTTTTCGAGCAAAGAAATTAATATCCATAAAATTAATCGTAATAAATTCCACACGGGCGAAGTCGCGAGGCACACCTAGTTTAATAATTTCGCTGGGATTCGATACCACAATCCGTGACTCGATTAACCCTCTTTCTTTCGGACCTCTCTCTTCAAGTAATACAAATTACTCTGACAGAATCGAATGCAAGCGATACCGGCCTAGAAAGTGGACATACCTGCCTCCGGAGGTTTCTGGGTCATGTTATTTGCGCAAACATTTGCTGCATTATAATTTACTTAAGCGACAACGGAAACAGTCGATGGTTTTGCGTACTCGACAGTTTCGCTTTTAAGGAAGATTTAAATAATCTCTTTCTGCTTAGAGCGGGGTTTCCCAACCTTTTATTGAACAGGGACCACTTTAATTTTTTTGTTGTTAGCAGGAACCACAAGGTGAAAGAAAAAAATGTGTTAATCTAACAATTTATTATAATCATAACTTTTAATATAATTATATAACTGAAAAGAAGCATTCATTAACAGTATTATTTGTGTATGCAACGACTGCCTCGTTGCTCTAGTGGTTGTAGTAGTGCGACTGCTGATCATGAGGTCCCGGGTTCGAATCCCGGGTCGGGCCAAGGAAAATCAGTAGCTGCCCGGAGTCAGGAAGTTGGTGGTGTCTCACGCCCTTGCCTCGGAAAACACGTAAATCCGTTGGTCCTGCGCCTAATCTCTCTCCGGTCGTGTCGGTTTACCGTCCCATCGGACTTTGAGAGTGAGGGAATAGAGAGTGCACCTGTGCTTGCGCATACACTCCGGCACTATACTACTGTCCTGCGCCGATTGCTAGTCTCCGTTGAGATTGCCGCCGTTATCGAAATTCGGTCTGGAGGACGTTATTTGTGTATTGCAAAAGCTAGTAGGTATACTTACTAACGTGACGTGCAGTGTTGCACTGCCCGCGTGACGAGAAAATAGTAAATGTGTTTAAAACTATTAGGTAGGAATAATAATTATGTAAATCTTTCGCAGACCATATTTAAGCTCTTGCGGACCACTGGTTGAGAATCACTGGCTTATGCCCGTCTTAATAAAAGTTACTCAACGACGAACTCAAGTGCGTAATCATTTGATACGCCCTCATTACGATATCAGCATCTCAAGATCGTTGCTAATTAATAAACACATAAAAACAGTATCTCAAAACGCTGTACTTAGGAATACTGTTCTGTGACTTGCACTCAAGTACACACACTTGAGAGTCGAGTTTCGTTTATTAATCAGTGTGGCACTCGGCTGATATCATAATAGGTTTATGATATCGCCGCATCTTGAGATATGATTATTAATAAGATCATAACCTCAAGATTGTACTTAAGTGCGTGTACTTGAGCTGAGTAACGTTTATTAATACGGGCCTTAGAGGTTGAGGCAAACATGAATTTGTTTGGCCTTCCAAGAAAAATGTGGCGATCTCCCGGTTAATGTTTAGTTTAGAAATAGTTGTATAGAAGCACGTTACTGTCTCGTTGGTATAGTGATCATAAACACAATTGCTGTCCTTTGATCCCGGGTTCGAATCCCGGCTCGGCCCAAAATCAGTTACTGGTTTTCTGTCAAGGAATTCTCAGTAGCAGTCCGTGGAGTCGGGAGGTTTGCGGTGTTTCACCCCCGTGACTCGGAAAGCACGTAACACGCAAAACCGTTTGTCCTGCGCCTGATCTCTCTCCAGTGGTGTCGAATTACCGTCCCATTACACTTTAAATGGGAAAATACGCCATCTCTTTTCAATATGTCAACTAAATAGTAGTAGTGAGTAATAGCGGAAATCCTCCCAAAAATAGGCGCGATCCGGGAAGTACACCTGGCGTATAAAATAGCAAAATATGAATACCGTCAAATTTTTACATATTAATAAAAATTGCTTTGACCATTTTTTTTTAATATTTTTTTTTTTATAAAATAAGGGTGACAAACGAGCACACAGTGGACTGGTGGACCTGATGGTAAGTGGTTGCTGTGCCCCATAGACATCTACGTCTATCATCGTTTGCGAATTAAAATGCAGATGCGTTGTTAGCCGTGAGGGCTAAGATAGAATGCCTCTGTTTCAGTAAAAAGGGTCTCCGGTTCTCTACACTCACCATACGAAACACAGCAGCATTAAGCTACTATTTTACGCTGGTATTCTATGAGAGCGTGGTCCTACCCCGGTCGAGCCGAACCATTCGTGCTACAACTATACTATTAATATAACTACAGCATGGCTCTACTACGTAAAAAATCAGATCTTGTATGAGTAAATAGTAAAGATAATCAATTGCAAAATTTGATTACTTTGCCATTTCCTTACCTAATTTATTCATAACAAAAACTACTGATGATACATTGATATACAGATGATGATACAGATTTAATCAGGTTGTAGGTAATTAATGACATAAAGTGCATCGAAAGAAACCAGTTCGATGTCGATATCACTATAATATTATGTTTTCGAGATATGTTGGGCAAAAATTATTCACGTATGTATATACGTGAATAATATAATAACGTACATACAAACACACATAAAAAACTACGGCATTCGAATCTAGTCTTTAAAACGTTAAGATATGTCATGATGTCAAAATTTCGACTTTGGGAAATTTTCTATTTTTCATCATTACATATTATTACAGTAACTCCAACTTACACTTAATTTTTTCAATACACAGTTAAAATTTATTTATTGTATAAAATGTTTAAATTATATAAATTATTAAAATGCAAAACACAAAATTATAATTGTATTAATAAAATATTTCAATTGTGTCATTTTATATTCAGTGAAATTATAATTTTATTCGATGGATAACTGTTATCTGACATCGAGAAATCGGCCCTTAAACAATTCTTTTCTATCATATCTTGAGAATAAACGACCATACAGTATCGTCTTCTAAAAACAATTTCATTTGAATTATTGGTAAATGCCCTGTGTTTCAGGAAAATGGTGATGATCGTGCACGGGTTTCCAAACAACATATCGGCTTTACGAGTTAGTGATTTTCTTTCTGTTCGAGTTTATTCGGTTCTATTACAATTAGGGTTGCCACCCGTACAATATATAGTATCGTACTATATTTCAGTCAATTTTCTATATATTATAGAAAAATAATATAGTACGAAAAATACTATATTTTTTGCCCTAATTCAAATCTCGCGATTTATTATATTAACTGTGATTGGAAGTCTGGAACAAGTAAGTTTTCGGAAATATTTTTTCCGTCATGAATGTTAGAAGAAAAAAACAGATAATAAATTTAATTAAAAATTAACTGTTAATTTATTTTAATATGAATCTAAATTGCTCAGATTCCCATAATAATTTTTAAGGTTGATGGCCAAAGCGAAGAGCAATAACAAATTTATATGGAAAATGCATAAAGATTAAAAATAAATGTGTACTTTGTTTTTTCCTGAATTTCCCAAAAGTACTATATTTTTGCGTCTTTGGAAAAAATACTATATTTATTAAAAAAAGGTGGCAACCCTAATTTCAATACGTGGTTTATTAATAGTCTCGGGTTTAAAGAGAAGTCTTTGGTCACGAAAAAAGTCCGAAATTTGACATTTGCTGTCAAATTTTATGCTTTACTTTTAAAGCGTCTTATACTCGGTCCATCTTGCTGTACGTCCCGACAAGGTCATGCACGTTGCATGACGCAAAACAACAGTAAATAGGCTTGACTTACGTCAATTCGTCGTAGACACCGCAAAGGGGCGAAACGTGAATGAACAATTGAGGTCCGCCCCTTTTGCGGCGTCAACGACGAATTATTCATTGTAGTTTTGTGTCGTGCGTCGGGCGTGACCTTAGCGGGACGTACAGCAAGATGGACCGTGTATAAGACTTTTAAGTTTTACTTTAAAGTTTTAGTTCCCATAATATCCGAAACTTCTTTATCGAAACAGACTCTACTTCAAATCTGATACTAATTATAAACTACTTTTTGTAATAAGATGGTTTGTGTTTGGATCGAATTTATGCGCCAAGCAACTGCTTTTATTCCTTAAATTGAGTATTTTCACCTGACTGCCCAAGAAGAAGGGTTATGTTTTTCAGGTGTATGTATGTTCGTTCGTCCTCTTTTAGGCTTAAAGACGAGACAAGTTTTAAGCATAAAATGTGTTTAGATTTGACTTCATCTTTGCAGTGTTATAGGCTTATTAAATATTACGTAGGTACATAATATTTAAGCTAAAAAAATATTGTATAAATTGAGCCGCCAAACTACTTGCGTATTAGTATTACGAGGGTGACATTGAAAGTTCTTAGAAAATGAAAAACTGAACAAACTAGCAAGCTTAGTTTTATTATATCTTTTCAAAATAGTGTCCATTTACATAAATACATCGCTGCATCTGATGGAACCACTGAGAAAAGCAGTGCCCACTCGTCCTTAGGGGTTTCTTCGACGGCATTTTGAAACGCAGCCAATGCTTCCTCGGCGTCCATGAAACGTTTTCCTTGAAGTTTTTCTTTTATTTTCAGAAATAAATAAAAATCGCAAGGTGCGAGATGGGGGTTATAGGGCGGGTGACCTAGTAATTCCACGTCTGACGTCGCCAAGTAGTCAAATGTTTGCTTGGCGGTGTACGACGAGGCGATGTCGTGGTGAAGGAGGATCGTACAGCGAGGTCGTTTCTCCCGAACTTTTTCCAAGACAAGTGGCAAACAATTCGTCGTTGACGCCGCAAAGGGGCGACCCTCAATTTTTAAAAAAAAATGCAGAAGAGCAAGAAAACATTTATTATTCCCCGATTACTTGCTTTTTTTTCATCAGAAAGTTAACCTTATCTGGGGGCACGGCAGTGCCCCCGCCAAGTCGAGCAAAAAAGCGGCACGGCCGTACCATCCTTTTCTCGAAGCAGTTCAGGCCATTTTCGACTCCTTATAACTTCGTTGTGGATAAAACTAAAAGGCTGAATTTTCAATGACCAAGCATGCATTGTATAAGCGCTGCATATTTCAAATTTCATTCAATTTGAACTAGTAGTTTAGAATTATAACTTTTCAAAGTTTCTTAATTTTGTCACTCACTGACTGACGTATCATCAAAACTCTAAGGCACTTCTAACAGACATAGAAGCTTGGAATACAATTAGTGTTTACTGCATAAATCAAGGGAAAACTAAAATATTTTGTAATTTCGGTCCAGTTTTCTAGATAAATCAACTGCATAAATAACTTTGTAATCCTATATAAATATATTGGATTACAAAGTTACATTTGCAGTGAATGAATCAGTGTGCCTGTATATGTATAATATAATAGAATAATAGATGTTAGATAGGTACCTAGTTATAATTATGGTCACAAGTAAGTTGTAAAATGGTTAACGGAATGAAAAAGCAAGAATGGGACATGTTTATGAAGTTGTACCAAAATCCCGCAAAGTATTAAGTAGACTAAATTGCCCGAAAATCCGTAGTTGGTATTCAAGAACTGGATGATACCGGAAAGGAAAAAAGTAGGACTATCTACAAAAAGAAATGAGATGCCATCAAAAACATAGTTTGTAAAAAAACCAAGGACCCTTAAGTAGGGACTGAATAAATTAACCGACTTGGTATTACATGGATCTCACAACATTTTACGGTAGAAGAACTGAGTTGCGACATTTGGTTTTTTTACAAGTTATGTTTTTATGGCATTTGTAGTTTTCCATTAAGTCTAATATATTATTTAATTTTCTGATGAAAAAAGCTAGTAATCGGGGAATAATAAATGTTTTCTTGCTCTCCTGTGATTTTTTGAAAAATTGAGGTTCGCCCCTTTGCGGCGTTAGCGACTAATTGTTAGTGTACCACTCTGCAGTTTCTGTTTTTGGATCCTCTAAAACAATTGTTGCGTAATGACCTGTCCTTCCGAAGAATGATGCCACCATCTTTTTTCCCACGTTTTCGACCTCTCTTCACTTTAGTTGCCAACTCCTCGGAAGGAAACACCCAAACAGCAGAATGTCTCTTAGTTTCAGGATCATAACAATAAATCCACCTTTCGTCACCCATAAGTATGTCGAACATAGCGTTTCAGTCACCTCCGTTAAATCTTTGAACCATTTCACGACACCAATCAACACGACGGAGTTTTTGGGCCTCTGTCAAATTATGTGGTATCCACCGGGCATAAAGCTTTCTGACCGCTAAATGTCCATGGTGGATTTTGTGCACTAGACTCATACCGATGCTTAAGCTTGTTCGAATCTGCTGATAAGTCACTCTTTTGTCAGTCTCATACGCCGCACAACACTGATGTTATCTTCAGTCGTCGCCGTAGGAGGCCGTCCCTCACGCAGATCATCGGTGAGATTAGTGCGACCACGTTTAAACTCATTAAACCAGTTGTAAACAGTGGCACGAGATGGAGCTTCGTCGTGAAAGGCCAATTGATGTCTATCATAACTTTCTTGTTGACTTAAATGACATCGAAAGTCATAAAAAATCTTTGTACGAAAAGTTTCTCGCGTTAAATTCGTGCTGACGTGACACAGACAATTTTCAATTTGCCGATAAATCGTAAACAAAATGACAAATGGATAAAATACATACACAATAGTATTGGCACAGAGTTCGATTTTCAAAATTAGAACTTATTTTTTTATTATATCGTTTACAAGTGGCCAGTTCTAAAAGCTTTCAGTGTCGCCCTCGTAATATGTAATTGTTTTAATAAAATTTAAGTGAAACATACGAACTTACAGGTCACTTAATGAAAAATGGCTACTGCAGCCCATGGAAACCTGCAGCCAACTTCAAACAAAGAAGACTACAGGTGCGTTGTCACCTCTGAGGAATATGATGAGATGCCTCATGCTGTTATTATACTGACTCCATATCCTTTAAACTGGAGCACAGGGGTGCGTTCAATGATGTTTAGCGGCAGAAAAATGTGTGTGTTACTTATATAGACGGAGTTCTAGGTAAAAAGAGAATCCTAGCACCTTGTAAGACTGGTTAAAAACTAAAATTTTCAATAATTTTAGTTCGAATGGGCATGGCAGAATCCGAATAAAACGACCAGACTCCAACATTTGGATCTCAAAAAAATTCCAAGAAAGGAAACGGAATTTCAGTTTAAAATTCGAGTCCTGTCGGAAATGTTACGGGTGGGTCCCTGGTGTCGACTTCCTTTAGTGATACGATGGCTCCAAAAGGATTTCTACCAAGAATTCTCCGTATGTGTCATTGCTTATTATATTGATTTTGTTTTATTTTTTTACCGATTCGTTGCGGCACCAATTTTCGACAACTATTACGGCGGAGGATTAATAAAAGAGTATTTATTAGAGAACTTTTTTATGCATGAATGCTTTCGAACTGGTACAAGCAAAAATAAACTTTATACCATATCACAAGAGCGCATGGTACCTTCATAGGTCCTTTCGGCTATATGATAGTAATGAGACGGCAGTTGAACCATTTTTAGCAATATTAAACAATAAGACCATCGCATTGGTTTTTTATTAACAGGAGACATGTTTTCCAGAAACTTATCTACAATTTGAGTTTGTGAGCGATCTAAAAATTACAAGTTTTCAAAATATTCAGAAAGGAAGCTGTAGGCATGAACTACTTTCAAAATAATGAATATTTTGTTTTGGGTAAATCTTCCAAAAACACAATTTGAGCAAATTATAACTTATTATTAACTATTTTTAAAATGACACGATTCGCGTACTATACGCAATGAATTGGTTAATAAATAATAGACCAATGATGATATGTGGTGATAGACTGATAAGGTGTTAGATGGTAAACACGATAGGCTAGAAAGTGCTTCCCTTTTGCCTTAAAAAGTCCCAAATTGTAGTGTTCATATATATTTTAGTGTAATAGTACATTTTACCTTGCTTCGCACTTTATTCGTGTAATAGTACATTAACTATGTATACTATACTTAGACCTTTAAAAGGATGCGCTAGCTACTGACATACATCCCTTGGAATATTCGTTCATATCACAAATTAATAAGAAGTGCTAGCGCAGTTCATATCGTGATAGACAAGTTGGGCCGACACTTTTGTATCGGCCCTACCGTTACAGCGTTTTAAAGTCCACTGCTGCATATAAGTCTCCCCATAGATTGCCTATTTGCCACTTTGGTTGCCGCGCTTCCCAAGCGGGTTGGCAACCGCAGTTTATTTTTTATTTTTTTATTTTTTGTCGATATTAGGAAGACGCTGCTGCCCATCTCCTGATTTGTTTCCCTCTGTCACCTCTTACGTCACCCACGGGATGATATTATGGTTTAGTAGATATACTTATATCGCCATGCTGTTTCCTATTCACCAGCCTGTGATATTTCGGATCAACATTTTGAGTGAATTTCCACAGCATAGTGCTTAGGCACTTGAAAATAAAAATTATTTTAATACCTCTGTAACAAATGAGCACGCAATCTACGTAATAGTAAGTGGATAATATAGTCCATAGAAACCTATATCTATTATCTATTAAGAATCTAGATGCGTTGTCAACCCAGAGAACTAAGATGGAATGCCTCGTCAACAATAAAAGGGGTCTCCGGTTCACTATACTAACCCTACAAAACACAAGAACATTATGCTGCATTTTATTTGAGCTGATACCTATTCCAATTCGTGCTACATCTTGCTGCATTCATTGTACAGCCGCAGCGTGGATTTATCTCATATAGACATTAGCTTATAATGCATGAATGCAGGAGAAAAATGCAGGACACAGTGAATGGGGCTCTTCACTCTATTGTGGGTACTCAGAGTACGTCACAAAAGGCACATAAGCTACATCACATTGCCGTGTTAGTCCCTACCTTAATATTAAAAAGTTCCCAAATTAAGAGTACCCTTAACCGACGAGCATGTATGCATATGGATGTGAAAGCGGCGAGAGGTGTCAGTATCGTGCTAAAAGGAAACCTAGTCTCTGCATACCCACACCTCTGGGTAACAGGCGTGACAGTTTATGTTATGTTTATGTAGATTAGCTAATACTTTACCCTACGCATAAGTATCAACCACAGAACACAGAATCTGTTGCTCTTTGGACTGAACGATATTGGATCAATTTGATAATACATAATATTCCTTCTTTTGCAGCCGGAAAGAAAACCACCATCACACATGATTTTTACGGACGGGCCCGTTAAAGTAAAAAATCTTAAAAAAGTTGACAACGATATGGCAACTACGAATTTTATCGAATGTTTGCTCTGTTCAGATTATTTAAATTCTAAAGACAAATTGACCTGTTTGAATACAAATTGCGAACTGGTGACACACATAACTTGTTTGGCTGATTTGTTTTTGACGCCTGGCGAGTTTGTGCCTATAGAGGGCAAGTGCCCGTTTTGCGATACAAAGCTGCTGTGGGGCGACTTAATTAGAAAAATGAAGGGATGCTATCAAGCTGCGGAGAACTGTTTAATTGTTGATAACGATGGAGACGATGATGTAGTGTGTTCACAGGATAGGAAATTTGTGGACAACGAATCTTGGTTTCTTGATTGCAATGATGATTTATGAGAAAATATAATTCTGTTACATTTGATGACACTGTGTTTTATTTACTGCCTACAATAATTGTATTACATTTTTAGGTTTGACTACTTTTTGGATCCCTTCGTTGGCAGGCGAATTGCCAGTCGTCTCACAACTTCGATGCTGCTGTCCGTAGCCGCTTTCAATAAATTCGTAGTAATTATATAAGGTATGGTAGAGAATGCCTTAGACGCTAAGTCCCCCTGTATACAATGTGTGTATATGAAGTTTTACATAAATAAATAAGATAAAAATAACATCCTTGACTTCGTGACGGTTCTTCTTTTATTTTTATAACACTGTAAAAGTTTACTACTGGACTTTGGCCTCCCAAAGAGCATTTCCCTAATTCGTCACGCTTGGTAACGCTTGGCTTGGGAATGACGAACGCAGTGTCAGACGTCTCGCAACATGACGCCGCTGTCCGTCGCTGGTCTGGGGGCCTATTTTACCTCTGAAGTAACAAACGAAATGGTTATACTGCCGTCTATCGGAAGCCATAATATTTTTCAGGCATTTCTTAAGTCGCCTCAATGGGACGAAATGGGGTGATGAATGATTTTACGTCGTCACGGCATGTGACTTTAACGTTCTTATTCGATGTTATTTATTATTTTTTGCAAAAATTATAATATGTTATTTCTATTATATTCAAATATACGAGGGCGACACTGAAAGTTTTTAGAACTGACCACTTGTAAACGGTATAAAAAAAATAAGTTCAAATTTTGAAAATGGAACTCTGCCAATATTATTGTGTAGTATGTATTTTATTAATTTTGTTTGTTTACAATTTGGCGGCAAATTTAAAATTGTCTGTGTCGACTCAGCGTGAATTTAACGCGAGAAACTTTTCGTACAATGATTTTTTATGACTTTCAATTTCATTTATTTGCCTTTCACGATGAAGCCCCATCTCGTGTCACTGTTTATTGAGTTTAAATGTGGTCGCACTAATCTCACCGATGATCTGCGTGAGGGACGGCTTTTCTCAGTGGACGACAAAGTGCTTTTCTCAGTGATTCCATCGGATGCAGCGATGTATTGATGTAAATGGACACTATTTTGAAAAGATAAAATTAAACTAATAACTTCCTAGTTTGTTTAGTCTTTGATTTTCTAAGAACTTTCAGTGTCACCCTCTTATGTTGCATAAATCTGTAACTTCCGAATATTATAAATTTGAAGTGATAGCGTCAATCATGATTTACAATATCGAGACGTGTTCCTTGCCTGCTGGACACAGACATTTGGTCAGCTATGGACAGATCTATCTTGTACTCGAGGTTACACTGGGTGGTGAAATAACAGTCTCAAATGGCTTATCTCAAAAGATCAGTAAGCTGAAGTAGAAATGGGCTAGTGATAGTTCGAAGAACGGACGACCTGAGAGTAAAACAGTTCACGAATGGATGTGTCATACCAGCAATCACATTGTGGGGCGACCCCCAGGTAAATGCTAACTTCATTTTTTATAGGATAGGTGACAAACGAGCACACAGTCCACCTGATGGTAAGTGGTTGCTGTGACCCATAGACATGTACATCTATCCTCATTAAATAATCAAACTGCAGATGCGATGTCAACCGTAATGCCTCTTTTCCAGTAAAAAGGGTCTTCGGTTCTCTACACTCACCATACGAAACACAGCACTTTTAAGCTGCTAATTTACGCTGGTATTCTGTGAGAGCGTGGTCCTTCCCCGGCCGAGCCAACCCATTTGTGCTACAAATATACTTCTAATATACATGCTGCAGCATGGCTCTACCACGTATGAAAAAATTCATCTAGTGAGGGCCGCCCTGCGTTTGTCTGATGATGCATACAAGGAGCAGCACGGATGCAAGTGGTCCAGGACCGTGACATGTTGCAACTGTATATTGATTTGTAATTATGATGATTGTCGTACGTTGACAAACACCGTTATATCAAAGAATACAACTTTTTACTAAGTTAGTGTCATTGAATCTATTGTTATAATAGAGTTAGAAGTTCTAATAGCCTCTCTATTCATCTCTGACAACACATACACTGGAAATGTAGGTTATATTTTGAGCAGATTTTCGCCAAATACCCTGGCAACATTCAAATACACCTCCTGAATAATCACAAAGAGCCGAGCATAGACTACTGTATATATACGAGCCGAGCCTAGGGGGCTATGTGCTTGTCGTACGTTAGTTAGGTAGTAGTTTATTATCAGAGTAACCTGGGTTTAATCCGCGCCGGCACCAATGAAATTGTTAATTGCTGATTTAAGTGCTGATTTATCACGTGCTCCGCGGTGAAGGATAACATCGTAAGGAAACACTGTCTAAACAGTTAAATATTTCGAGAGCATGTGAAGTCCGCGAACAGCGAGGTGGAATAAACCACTTAAAATTGGAGGTCTGTGCCCAATTTTGAGACATTCCTTTTCTTATAAGCTCTTACTTGACTTTTTTAACTTGTAAATCTATAAACCGTACCACTTCAGATCACTCTGATTTCATTAATTTTTGACCAACTGTATAATAAACTGTGGAGGTTATCGTTACCATTACAGCTTATTAAAGCCCACTGCTGAACATAGGTCTCCCCCACAGATTTCCTCATCGGGGGATAGTTGCCACGCTTAGCAAGCGGGTTGGTGACCGCAGTTTTTTTTTAATTTTTAGCCATTAGGAAGACGCAGCTGCCCACACCCACGGGATGATATGGGGGTAGTGGATATTTTTACACCGCTACTACACGGCCTCAACGGGGTTATCAATTTTACTGTACTGACTGTAATTATTATAGATGTTATGTAATGTTAATGTAAGCGTGCTTGTGTTTAAAATATCTCCGTGGTTGGTTAACGATTTTGCTGTTTTCTGGTAGGTATATCAAAGAGTATGCTTTCTGTATCTATATATATTTAAACCAGATGATAATAATAATGGAAGTTGGTAGAAATTAGACAGTTTATTTTTTTAAACAATTCAAGTTAAATTTCAAATAGCTTAATGTAATTATAATATAGGTTTATTATGGCAGCTTAACACTGCTGTGTTTCGTATGGTGAGTGTAGAGAACCGGAGACCCTTTTTACTGGAAAACAGGCATTCCATCTTAGTCCTCACGGGTGACGACGCATCTGCATTTTGATTCTTTATTGAGGATAAATGTAGATGTCTATGGGTCACAGTAACCACTTACCATCAGGTGGACTGTGTGCTCGTTTGTCACCCTATCATATAAAAAAATATAGGTACTTTTAGTAAAGAGAAAATGGAAAGGGTCTGTGCACTGTGTTCTGCGTACAGAAAGGGAATAAGTTTAAAAATTGTGAATTGTATATATATAGAGTACTAGCGGCATCGCCTGGACAGGATCTACTTATGATAATCAAATAGTATATTCCGGTTTTTTTTTAAATCTTTAAGTTTGGGGTAAATTATTGCCTAGATTGTGGTATTAATCTCTATCTATTCGTAGAGACTCAATAAATCGATTCAGCTTTTCCGAAGATTAGCGCGGACAGACAGACAGACAGACAGACACCAAGTGGTAAAATTAAAATTTTTGCACAACCGACTTCAATATAAATGAGAACATCACCAATGTAGTCGAAGTCGATGAAATACGCATTATTAATGGATATATTATATGTTATTAAGGATAATTCAAAAACTACTGGTCAGTTCTTGATCAAATTTATATGGCACAACATGAGAAGCACCAGCTTTCAAATAAAAAAAGAATCATCAAAATCGGTTCACCTAGGAAAAGTTCTGAGATAACAGACATAAAAAAATACAGTCGAATTGTGTCCTTTTTTTGAAGTCGGTTATTTTTTTAAATGCTTATTTATCTCCATAGCATTCCAATAACCGTATGAGCTTAACTGAAGCCAGTTAATTAAATATTACAGACAGACACTTTTAATTTTATTTATAATTAAAATCAATTTTATTTATATGTACCTACTTATAGCTTTATTTTTATTTATTTAAAAACTTGTCGTTTATTATGAATAATATGACACAAGCGTTATTGCTAAAATAGAAAGTTAAAAATAATTCTTTAGTTGTTTTAATTCTAAGAAAGTAGTAAAAAACTGTGCTTACTTCCTTATGTTCATATATTTATAATAAGTTAGTATGTTTGTGTAATTCTCTATTCGCCTAGCAGGTACATTAGAACAGCATTGATATAAAAATAATTATAACTTACATACATGTACATATTATAAACTTACTACGCATTTATATTTTTGAAATAAATTAACAACATTATTGATTAAAAAAAAACCTCTATATACTGAAATATACTTAAATGCAACGTCATTTGGTATAGAACTTGCCCACAGACATTGAAGTTCTCTCACAATATCAGTGGAACACACACCGAGTATGTTTAAGTATGTTAGCACCACAACACAACACAAAATCACTAATTATCGTTTTTCTAATAGTCATCAAATATGCCTTCCTCCTCCTCATCATCATCACCAAAATCGTCGTCATCGTCAGCACCAGGTGGAACAAAAGCACCATTCAGTATTTCACTGACTGGTTCATCGAAACCCATCACTTTGGCGAAACCATACACTAGCCGCATAGCCACCAATCGTGTGAAATCGACAGGTGTGGTTTCTTTTCTTTGCAGCTCCAGCTGTTTCTCCGTGGGATAATCCATAATCTTCTTTTTCATTTCACACATAGAGACAAATAAACAAAGGATGATAAAAAACACAACTTTAGGAGCCATGTTTTAAAATTTCGCGCCAATTTACTTGTCAAACAAGAAAATGCGTTCCTGTTTATATTCAATTGCGTGTTGAATTACTGCATGTTTAACATTTGAAATTGAAACTGAATGTCGAAGTAACGGAATGCTATCGCGAGCGGGTGATGCTTTCGAATGAAGACGAGCGTGTGCCAGAACAGCCAAGCGCAGTGTGTCATGTCAATAAGTATGGATAACGGTTAATGCGTGACACGCCGCTTGCTTAAAGTAA